TTAATTCTCTGTGGGGCAACCTAGCATTGGCCATGGTCAGAAGACAGAATACTGGGCTAGACAGACCTTTGGTCTGACCCAGTATGGCCGTATCTTCTGAATGGAGTGGCTAATATGGGACTTGATTACTGAAGAATTACAAGGGTAATGCAATTAATGCAAATCAACATAGGTTTATGGAAAATAGATCCTGTACAACTAACATTTTTAAATGAGATTGCCAGTTTTGTTGATAAAGATAATACAGTTGACATACTACACTTAGCTGCTTGTAAGGTCTTTGACTAAGAACTTAATAGCATTTGATAAAAAATTAGCATTTTGGTTAAAAATTCTCTCAGTACACATTAGATGGAAAAGGTTATTTTAAGAGAGGTTATTTTACCTTTATATTAGATACTGGAGTCACTGCTTCTTAGAACACTGTATAAGGTCTGTTAGAAGTTTAGATGATCTGATGATTTTTCTTTTCTGAAGAGATGTTCAAATTCCACAGGATCTTCGTAACACATAGATCCTTGTATTTTGGGGTTGTAGTTCAGAATGGTAAAACGTCCATTTCCACTATCATCATCTATTGTATAGTCATCATAATTTCCATTAAAAGAAACAAAGCAATTTTTAAAAAGGAGACACTATCTCAGATATACGCTAATTCCAATTCTAGTTAGTTCTCAAAATCATAAATCAAATAATTAGAGAATTGAAGAGCTTCAATTATATGTATTTATAGAGCAATTGTGTTTCTCTATGATTAAAAAAGTTAAATTTCTTATAGCAGAAAAATAATATGATTCAAAAAGCAAAAGATTTTAGTTGAAAAGAATTATTAAACCCACTTTAACTGAAAAGTCTAGGCAAAGACTCTTTTATTTATCTTAAAGTGCTCTGACTATGTAAAAATAGCATCTCCTTAACCTGTATGTGTTCAATCTCATACATTTACTTTAGTAACTAAAATCATTTTGCAATGACCTTTACTCTTTCCAGCACTGGAAAGCTCATGCTGCTAAGACTGAGCAAGCTAGATTCTTTTCCATCTGGTGTACCACTGACAGGAATGTTTACTAAGTACCAATCATTGACACCTGTGCAAATCCATTGAAGGCAGCAGGAGATGCACAGGTGACGCTGGCATAATATATTGAAGGCAATAGAGCTGCACAGCTGTCACTGAGGGCTACAGAACATTTATTGCTAGTGACGATGAGTGAGATGGAAAGAACCCAGCTTGACTCTCAGAGCCCAGACTGAGTTTGCATGGTTAGAAGCTAGAAAAATATCTGGTTTTACTTGTAAAGTCAGCACATTTGATTACAAAAACACTGAGAAATAAGCAACTGTAATTGAGTTTAAAGGTTATATTGAAGTGACAGAGAGAAAAACACTGAAATTACTGAGTATTTGTATTCTGAAAGGTGACTGTAAAACTAGTAATGTGGGGTTAGAGTCACTGTTCTGAACAAATACGTTTCAGTATTACAGTATTTTCATTGTAACAGTAATGTAATGCATAAACCTAATTGCTGTATTTTAGCACATTTAGAGCAACTTAATGGTTTCCCTTACTTGCTAGCTTACACATGTGGGCTGTGTCTAGACTGGCAAGTTTTTCCGCAAAAGCAGCTGCTTTTGTGGAAAAACTTGCCAACTGTCTACACTGGCCGCTTGAATTTCCGCAAGAACACTGACTTCCTACTGGCTGAAATCAGTGCTTCTTGCGGAAATACTATGCTGCTCCCGTTCAGGCAAAAGTCCTTTTGCGCAAAGCTTTTGCGCAAAAGGGCCAGTGTAGACTGCTCAGATTTGTTTTGCGCAAAAAAGCCCCGATCGCAAAAATGGCAATTGGGGCTTTTTTGTGCAAAAGCACGTCTAGATTGGCACGGACACTTTTCCGCAAAAAGTGCTTTTGCGGAAAAGCATCCGTGCCAATCTAGACGCTCTTTTCCGCAAATGCTTTTAACAGAAAACTTTTCCGTTAAAAGCATTTGCGGAAAATCATGCCAGTCTAGACGTAGCCATGCTGTTTCCCAGTTCACTTGTCTGCTCCAGCTTGCAGGCAAGTTGTAAAGTAGGAGTCATCACTAACAGTCAGCACACAACCAGGTAACAAGCAGTTGTAGATGGCAAGATGGTGGTATGTACTTGGGTCATATTTGTACATTCAGAACAATGTAGAGTTTGGATCTGCAGTGTCACAGAGTCTCCGGTCATTTTTTTCCTTTAATCATGCTGGGTCTTCTGCTTACAAAAAGAAGAGTTCCATAGCAGGAGATTCTTACTCTCCTGCCTAAACACAACAGCATGCTTCATCTCTGATCCAAAAAGATTACCTCACGTGGTGAATAGGAACGTTAGCATGAACACTCATTCAACACTTAGCACTAATTGGCCACATTACTGGTAGATTAACAGGGTGCTGTGTTTGTGTCAACTGGGCAGTTGTCCGTTGGGTACTGCAGGAGTGTCACAAAACTCTTAACACAACTCACTCACTAAACTTGAAAGGCTTTATGCACCATTGTCAATCCCTGTGATCACAAGAAAACACTGAAAAACAAAATAAGCAACACAAAATCAGTAGACAATGGCAACCAATAGTAATAATTATTATAGTAATAATTCTTTTATGTAATCTTTCTTCCTGAATTTTCCCTAACACTTTCTAAATTTCATGTATTGTCTAAGTTCCACTCATTCATCATGGCTTTTGCTCCCTCCTGCATGCCTTTTGCCAACCACATGCAAGTGGATTTTAGAGGAAGGACTGAGCTGCTCTCTTCCTGAAGCTCTTGCTGCCTCTTAGCATGAGCAAGTGTTTTAGTTTCAATTGTTTAGGGTTTTTCTCATCTGACCCTGTGGTTACAGCTGATTGATATACAAGGGGATATTCTCATAGGTCCAGCTACTGAGGAACAGGAGCTACGTGTGGCTCTCCCAATGCTTTTGCAGAGGATGGGGTGCCATGCACCACCTTCTGCTCCACCCCAGGAGTTGGAAGTAGGGGTGCTGCTACACTTCCTGGGGCTTAAAATGGTTAAAATTCCATCATATACAGAATTTGCTGTTTGTTTCAGTGGCTCTCGGTACCTCCATTATACAAATTTTTCCAGCATCAATAACTCACCCTCCCTTTTATTCCTGAGTACGATCTAGTAGTCGCTTACCATGACTTACTTTTAGGTTGCACTCCAATGGCCAAGGAGTACAGGTCTTATGAGTAGAGCACTGGACTATGAATAAGGAACAATAGAGCCTGTTCCTTTTCCTGCCCATAATATCTTGTTTGACCTTGACAAGTCATTTAATTTTTCTCTGCCTGTGAAATAAGGATATAATACTTCCTCACAGGGTTACTAGCAAGTTTAATTCATTAGTGTGTGTAAAATACAGAGAGATTGTCAGATGGAATGGTGTTATAGAAATGCAAAGTATTATTAAACTGTCAGTTATTTTCCTATGAAATTAGACTTTTGTCTAAGTAAAAATAATTGGTATGACAAGATGATTGAAAACCTGCAAGTACAACATAAAGACTACCTATTATGCTAAGGCTGTCGTCTGACACTGTGACTCAGCAGCATTCTGGCATTGCAATAAAGTGTTGTTTTGGCCAGTTTGACTCATTTTAATACCTATTCCAGTGCAACTATCACAAAATAAATGTGAAAGTCCAGGAGACAAGCAAGGACCCAGATGTATCTTTGAGAAATCATTACCAATTTGTCAATCTTGTGTATACAGGTTTAGTGCTGGGGTTTGGATCTGGATCATGGTTTGAAATTTTCCAGCAGGCATCCAAAACTTTTAAAGTTTAGGCTTTAAATAGCTGCTCCAAGAGAGACGGACAGATCTGATTTGTAGAAGGTTATTAAAAATATGTGAAAGAGACTCAGGAATTCTCTCACGGGAATTCTGCTACAATAAGAAAAGAAATATTGGAAATGTAGTATGTTGGTAACAAGTAGAAAGAAAACCAAGATGTAGATGGATAGATCTTGAAAAAGTACTTTCATACCTGGTGTATAATTCATACCAGGTCCATGATGTCACATGTCTTTGGGAGGGACCAGAGAGTATGGTTGAGGGAGTTTGTGCCAAAGAGTAGTGACAATGAAATGGCGAGGATAAGAAGTGGATGTGCTAATTTTACCCATCATTATAGCCACCTCAGCCAAGAAATGGAAACACTATAGAATTTAATCTGCCCCCAGGCCTAACTAAAACCTCCCAAAACTGCAGGCACACCACTTGCAGGTGAATATCCTTGGACACAGCTGAATCAGCTACTGAAGGGAGGTATACGTTAAGTCCCTCCACATCATTTATCACACTTTCAATGATTGCAGACAGGAAAGACTAGGCATTGCCTTTTAACACAGATGTGTTGTTACAGTATCACAACCACTGTTTAGTTCTCAGTTCTCAGACTGGCACAACTATCATCAAGTTCTGATTATCTGATCAGAGGAAAGAATGACTTGAAAGACTGAATGGAACAAATTTTGCAGTAACCTTGATATGGTTGTGCATCCTTATTCCTGGATGTTCCTTTAAAAAAAAAAAGTACTGAACATGGTGGTTGTAATGGAGACGTGTGCGAAATAACCTGAAATACACAGAGCAACGCATGATAGTATTTATTCTATCAAATACAGTGTTTGCTCTCAGGTATCAGATTTAGATAGCATGGACATGAGAGGTCATAAAAAAAACTACAAAACAACTGACTAAATGACTTTGAAGTCAGGTGATCCAATCTACCAGCAATTTAAAAAAAATAAAAGGAAAAATGGAATTCCTTTATAAAATGCTCAAGTTATATTTTATGATCATACTAAAGAGCAACCACAGTGACAGCACATGGAGGATAATACATGGTTGCAAAACTAAATTCCAGACTGCAATTCAGCTGAGGTCTGATGATCTCATAAAGCACAACTCAAACAATTCCTGAATGACAATGAATAACTAACTGAATTCCAGCTTCTCTGCTCCAGCTAGAATCAGAATGCAATGTACAACAGCAGAACAAGATTCTTAATTCTGTATTTTACAATCTGCTGGTGAATAATGTCAAAAAGCTAAAATGGCAGCAGTTACTGACTGTGAATTTTAAATTGATAATTAAACCAAGGAAAGGCTGCTATACAAAAATAGGAGATGTAAAAGGTTAATGAAGCTGTAATAAAGATGGAGAGTTGGCTGTGCATCTTAGAGTGACTTGGAAAAAGAAAAGGAGGTTGATGAAAACTGTTCAGACTGAACTTTAATATTAAGCAACATGTTCTACCACTGAGCCAAAAACATAGCCCAAGCAAGGATATTTTTATGGGTGCTGTAGGTGGGGGAACTCAAGCTGCTATGAATTCCAACATCCTTTTTGAATCACTCAGATCAGTAAAGGACCACATGCACATTTACTGGACGATGATGAACGCCTTCTATGTCAACAAATGCTCTTACCAGGTATGAATTTCCCATGCTAAAACTTTTGCAAAGTCCTCTTTCTAATTATAAGGATGACAAAAGTAGACTTTGTCTATTGCCACATATTTGTTAAGTGATGACAGTGTGCTCAGTGCTGTACATGGCACAAAATTAACAACAATATTCTACATGAATTAATTCAACTCCACAGGATCATTAGTATTCAAGGCAAGCAATTAAAAGTGCACTGCAGCTGTCCTGCTTCCCAGCTCACTCTCTTCTGCCCTCACTTCATGGAAAGTGAGTGGTGGGATTTAAGCTGAAGCCATTAGTCTCACACCAGAGTAAGACATGATACCATGCAGAGGGAGCTATTGGAAGGAACTGTGCCTTGGGGTTAGGGAACAGAATACATTACTTGCTCTCTTTCCTGTTTCTGGACACTTTATCTGGCTGATTAGTAGGAGGCATATCCAAATCTCACATTTATTGTCTCATGGTTCAAAGAGGTGTAAGAAAGGAGGCTATCAGGCAAAGTCTGTGTGCGCTCCATGTCAGATGCACAATAATAATGGTTAGGGGCTATGTAACAGGTTTTCATTAACAAAATAAAGATGGGGGCTGATCCCTATATTCCTAGCCATGTTTATAGTCCTTACCCCACTTCTAGGACTCTACAATCAAATAGACTTTTACATGGTCAACCTCCAGCCTCCTCTTGTCTGCCTATCTGTCCGTATGCACACACATATTTATGCATGCCTGACTCTGTCCTACTATACACCCACACAGAAAGGACCTGTAAGGTAGAGCCCTATGCAGGACAAGTTTAGGGCCTAGCTACAGGAATGGGATCCCACAGGCTCCAAAGGACCCACTGCCATAATAACAAACAAGAGTGAGTAAGAGCAGGATTAAAGTGAACTCCTATGCAGGGCTCTCTCCTCAGTGCTCATAAGAATTTAGTTAAGAATGGTTTGGTGGGCACTTAGAGATGATTCCATACATACACAGCCAGGAAAATAACCATAAAAATATATCTTTCTGTCAAAAAAAATGTCTCTCTGATTTTCTCTCTTCCTCCCCCCTTTTCATGCCACTTTCTTTAGATTGCAAATTTCATGTGTTTCCTAACATCTTTGTACAGCATTTAGCACAATGGGTCCTGGGCACCTTTGAATGCTACTATCATCTGTCATATTACTATTACATTATTATGTAATTCTGTGCTGCTGCTATTGCGCCCAACACAGAGATTTCAACAACAGGCCTAGAGAAGAAAGGGGGAGGGGGGTGATTGGGTGGTTGGCCTATACTGGCAAAAGCTCAGAGTTTTTCAATCTCCAAATTAAAGGGGCACCATCTCAGAACACTTGAAAGACCTCCCACATGTGCAGTGATGATGAGATTCCTAAAACACATCTGGATACAATTCAGCAAACATAGCCTGGAACTGATGTATGGGCCCAAAACCTGGAAGATGGTCAAGCTATGCTCAGAGCAGTTTGGTGTATGTAAGTCATCTGTGCACATCCCACCCATTCTGGGAATGTTCAGTCTCCCAACTGCTCCCTAATACATATTAGAACAGCCTCAAGGTGACTTCTACCTAAACCTGTTGCCAGTAATCTTTGGGGGAGTGGAGTATTCCAACCACTAGGAATTGACCTAGAATAGAGATGCATGTGCATTTTCTACTTTTCTTAGTCATGCTCCTGCATCACAAGATGGGATAGCTAGTGATGCTTGAGCCATTGCACTGATTCTCCACCAGCAAAAGGCTCCCTTCATTATTTAATAGTAAACATTATAGTTGCATCCAAAGGTCCCATGCAGAATCAGGATAAATTGTGCAAGCAGCTGTACAAAGATATTAGAAAACATCTGCCCTAATGTAAATGCACGACTTTCCAGTGTCTGAGATGTCTATGTCTTTAGGCCTGGCTTGCACTGCTGGAGGGAAAAATACCCTTAATATAACCTCATGGCTTTTTTGTCACTAATTCCGTAATTATTGACGGTCTCTCATTGGTAGGGAAAAGTGGAAAAGCAGTGAAAGTTACTGGGAAAGGTTAAGGAAATGGGAGTTCTGGGGTAAAGCATTGAAACAGATCAAGATAAAATGTACTTTACTAGACTTGGATGGTGATGCTCTACTGATGTAAATAAAGACTTTTAAAAATGGAATTCAAAAGGCCTTGAGAATCCAATGAATGTTGCTTTGAAAATCCTATGCTGTATCACAATAACTAGATATGTATAAAATCTCTTAGATCATCAAATGCATCCTTCTTTGCAAAGGGGGATATATAGTCCATAGAAAAAGGCTATGATCTTCATGTTGCATGCATTCTAGAGGAAACTGAAACAGGAGACAGTAAAATATATTTTGCCTGATGGACTAGAGATTTATTTAGATATCTTTGACATTTCTTAGTATCACAGGTTATTTGCAGAAAGGCCAAGAGGAGTCCAAATGAAGCCACAACCATTCCTGTTTTTTTTCATTGTGACATGCTTGATGGAAGGATATGTCATTTACAACTAGGACATCTTCTCAGCAAGATTGTTTCCAGATAGTAAGTTCTGAACATCTCAGAAATAGTCTCTTTGTACTTAGAACTTGCTACCTGGTGAGATGTATTGGCATTATACGTTTATAATTGTACCGCTATAGTAATACTACTATATCTCTTCACATAGACATTCTTATTGGGAATAACAGTCCATTTTTTCAGGGTAGATTATGTTCCTTAAACTAAAAAAAAGGCTACTGTTATTCCAAATAATACTGGTAAAGTAATAACAGTAAATTTCCCCATGTAGACAACCCCTTAGTGTTATTCTGGCCAATATAAAAAGAATCAAATGACTCAATGTGAAGCAGCAAATTTCCCCAGGTTTCCATATTTCCAAGTCAGAATGGCCATTCAAGGGGTGAAGCAGTCACAGCAGGATGCCCAAGTAGGCACCTCCAGGGCATCCTTGATAAAGCCATATTTTTATCTCTATTTTAGATGCCTCTGAGATCTCTGTACCTTGCCTGCATCTCTGCCTTTATGTTACAGCCTTTCCATGGATATTTATAGAAAATTGAACAAAGAAATAAAGCTAAACAAATTACACAAACATGGATGGTATGAAGCAATTCTTGAAGGTTTTTTTGTGTGTAGTTTTCACAGTGCCAATATTAGCCGAGAGTATCATTTAAAATAAAACTCTTATTTAAAACGCCAAATTCAAATGCTTTTATAGAACACAGAACAGAATTAAGTAAGTCACTTTAAAACTTCTAACGGGAGATAGATTTAATGCTACATGCATGTTTATTTTAAACTTAGGTATTTTCCATTTTGCACAATCTTATGGACAAATACTTATCTGAGCTTGGAACAGCATTTCTGGGGGTGGCAGTAACCATATCTGTCAATCATTATATCACTGCTGGACTGTTACAGTACTCAACATTAAATCCAAATGCTCTAGGTTTTATGTAGCACTAAACAATTAAGCACAGCCAGCTATAAAGAAACAGACTGCAGTTTCCTGTAAGGCACACTGGGCCAGAGCCTCAGCTGGTACAAATCAGTGTAATTCCACTTATTCCAAAAGGAGATAAGACTTACACCTGCTGAGGATTTGTCCTCTGCTTCTTTAGGAAAAAGATACTATCCAAGATTTTCATCTGCATACCCTGAAATGAATATGCACTTAAAAAAGAAAAGAAAAGAAATCAGCAATACATTATCCTCAGATCGGAAAGTGCCCAAAGCAAAGAAAGGATATTCCCTTTTTTTCCCCTAATGGCTCAAGGACAACATTGATGCTACATTGTCTGAAATCACTACTCAGAGTGTAAAATTGTTTCCATTTGTAAACAAACATCAATCTCATGTCCTATTAAAGTCACAATGGTTATTAAGTACATATCAAAGCTCTGGTGCATTCAAAAAGTGTTAATTGGAAGTCAATGGAAATACTGTAAGTAAAAATTAAACAGCACAGACAAATCTCTTCAATTCAACAAAGATACAGGAAAGAGGAATATTGCTGCACACAGTCAGGTTTCATCTAAATAAGACAAGGCAGCTTCATTTAATGGGAACAATCCTAATAATTACATTTCAGTGAAGCAACTACTGTGAAAATGTATTAATTTTCAAGATTCGGTTGTGTCATTAGATTGATTCATGTTTTGCTTACCACCACAACTACATATGTATAACAGTGTCAGAATGCACAGATTTATGGCTGCTACCATATTACCACTATGAAAACACTACAGATGTGTAATCACACTAGAATGAAGAACCAACATTTTACAATTTGCTACCTGCTACAAATGTGGGAACACTCCCCCACACCTTTGATCATTTTCATTTGTCACATTTGTACAATATGAGATTGGCAGTTTAAAAATGAAGACAGATGAGTGATTTACTTTTTTAAAAAAATTATGGAAATATAATTTTCTCCACATCTAGTTTCAGAATGATGGCTAAAGGCTATTTGCTTAAGTGAGTGGTGAGTACTAGGAAGGGTAGATAATCACATTTAGTGCAGGTACTGTATATATTTATAAAATTATCCTAAAATGCCTCTAGTTTTACGTAAAGACACAGAGAATTTACTCCCTTTTTATAAAGAAATAAGCTGCAATGATATTGAAAAAAAAATCAGGTTTCTGACAACATTAAATTACTAAATGTATTTGCAAGCAGAGGTAATATTTTTGCTACCAATACATTGGCTACATGTAGTCAAGAAAGAACAATGCAAATTTGTAATCGTATGCTGCGGCATTCCAATTTGATAAAAAGTAATTATATTTGCAATAAACAGTTTTAAACTGCTGAAATAAATAAGTTTAAGTGTAGATGAAACTAGAAATAGCAATAATCCCACCAGAACGAATCCTGCTGTCTGTAGACATGAAACAAACCCACCATGACAATTATCCTGCTTTCAGAGAGAGAGACTAAATCCAAGATTGTATGAGCATCAGGTCAAGGCAGAAACTCACTGGCAGGAAAAGCAAACCTGTGAAACACTGAACTAACAATATCCACGCTTTATCAAGAGTGAAATCTCAGGCCCTTTGATGTCATTGGGAAAGCTCTAATTGGCTTCAGTGGGGCCAGAATTTCACTTCAGGTGTTTTGTAAAAATAGAAGTTCTTAAATTTGCAATAGTGATAGAAATGTAGCCGTGTTAGTCTGGCCTTTGGTATATATGGCCTTTGGTATATATGGCTGTGACTATTTTCTTCCACTATTTGATCTGAGGAAGTGGGTCTGGCCCACGAAAGCTCATCATCTAATAAACCATCTTGTTAGTCTTTAAAGTGCTACATAGTCCTGTATTTTGTTTTAAATTTGCAACTCTGTTAATCTGGCACTTTAAAAACAAACATTGTTGAATTTTACTTATAATCTCAACATCCCTTTCACTTGATGGTCTTTTGTTAATTTTCTCCTCCTGCAATCTTAGGGGAGAAAAATATGTTCACCTGATCATCTATTTCTGAATTTGCAAACCAAAAGAAATCATTTTGTTTAAAGTCATAGGTGCATATGGAGGTTAATCCATAGAAGTACCTCCACAACAATTATAATTCTTCCTGATTTAGTATAGATCTAATTTATCTGATCACTATTATAACTAGCATTACTCGTCCCATTGCGACAGTAGACATACACTCAGGTTGGCCTGGCTCAGGAAGCAAAAGCAGACCTGGCTGCCATCTTGCCTGTGTAGGCACCTGCTGCTGCCATAGCATCCCCACTGCTTCACCCCCATCTCACACTGTCTGCATGCACCATGCACTCACACCCACTAGAGAGCTCTGTGGGGCCGTTGGAGTCCATCATTCAGATGCCAACAGGCTGGATCCCGGCCAGCCCACCTGGACCCAACAGCTGGATTCCCTGCACTCCTGGCAAGGTGTAACCTCCATTCCACACTCAGCTCATGAGCTGCTAACTTATTTCCTGTTTGGAGCCACCTCTGGCTGCCATGTGGGAGTGACTATTACAATAAATAAACCCCGGTACAGACACTGGAGACAGAGCTCTGCCCCAGTGGGATCAGCCCTGCACTGCTTGGGGCGAGAGGGAGAGAGGAACTGGGAGCTGCCCTGGTTGGAGAGCTAGGGGGAGATCCACTGGCTGGGAGCGTGGGACACTGTGGGGACCTTGTCCTGGTGAGAAAATGGGGAGCTGAGGGTGGGGCAGGGAGTTACCCTGGCTGAAAGCAGGGAGCGCTATGCCTTCACTCAACCAACAATACATGCCAGTACAGTTATATGATGTAAGGGTTTGGATAATATGCCAGATCTTGATAACATATTCAAATGCATTAACACAGTTCAGCTCTTAAAAATATGTTCAGTGTTTATATACATCAATTTGTTATGGATAAAAATGATCTCGATATTATCTACAGATACTGAAACAATGGTGTTAAAATGTAGACTTCGGGCTGCCTTTTATCAGGCACTCTGAAAATTAAACCCTACCGCTTTATTTTCTGGTTGCTGTATTTCATTTTTAAATTAGTGTTATATTAGAAAACACCTTGCAACCATATCTTCTAATTTATCACACCACGGATTATCTGCAGAAGCTAATCTTCTAAGTGACATATTTGGTTCAGTGCTATACAGAGGGTGCTTGTAATGAGAATCAATGTAGCAAGCAAAGCAGGTTTATAATAGAATAGCTTCAAATTGAGAATACAATCAATGCCAAGCAGTCAAGAACAATTGTCAATGATGGACACTAGATCTTACAATGCTTGTTGAATGCTACGATTTGTATATGTGGTGAGAATTACAGAACCATTATCAGAGAAAATTAATTCTTTCTTTGATATGAAACTGGGATGAGGGAAGTAAAACAAGTCCAACTTATCTAATTCCCTCTTTTTTAGCATCAGACAAGGCTCAATGGAATCAGACAATAACATTTCTTTGGATAAGCCTTCCAAAGCATGACTGTTTATTTGATTATTATGATGGCACTTGTCCTTCATATATATTCTATCCCGCCATTGAACCCAACACAATCCTGCTCAATTAGTATGGAGCATCCTCTTGTTTCCAGCTCCCCCATCCTGCTACACTATCACCAAATTCATCAGCTGTCTAGGTTGATCCCATAGTGGAGATCCAGTGATTCCCATTTTCCCCTGTCCTGATCCAGTGTTCATGCTCAGTCCAGGTATCTTCATGTTTTGCTGATATTCTAAACCCACCAAGGGCATTATCATTTCTGGCCTTTCTAGCTGTTTAATATTGTGAGGGAAAAACATAAGACAGAAATAGGATCTTACATCTTAAAGCGCACACGCACACACACAATTAATTTAAAGAAAGCTAATCAAATATAGAGCTTGTTTACAAGGAGGCATAAATCATAATCCTTGAGGCTGATGGCATATCAAGGTTCAGTCACTATTGCTATTATTTTATCTATGTTAGGTATGCCTCTGGAACACAATACTGTAGTATCTGTGTTATCGCACAATCTTTAATGAATTTATGTTCACAACACCCCTGACATAGTGAAGTGTTGTCATCCCCATCTGCCAAATGGGGAGCTGAGATACAAAATACTCAGCCTCACACAGCAAGTCTGAGCGGAGCAGAGATTCGAACCAGTGTTTCTCACGTCCTAAATCACTGACTTAAGCACTGAACCATTAAAAGACAGACAAGAGAGAAGAACTGCATTTCATCTAGCAAATTAGAAAGATTCAGTGACTGTATCAATGTTCATATAAATTGCAAGTTTCAGGTATTCTGAAGCTATAACTCGGGCGGGGGCAGAGGGAGAGGAGGAGGGCAAAAAGAGCCAGGTTTTGAAATCAAATTTGATATCAATTAGTTTGTTTTTTGAAAGAAATGTACTTTATTGCTTCAAAATTTAAAAAAAACACATGCTCTCCTAACAAAATGGAAACTAAATTTGCAGTCACTTACATCTATCTCTCTTACATCTGTTACAGCTTTGTGTAAGCTTAATTACATACAATATGAAACAGTCAAGTTATGACTGACTATCTGAAAGTTCCTATTATCCACTGAATGTAAAAGGCTGAATCTAAAGCTCATTGGAATCAATGGACCACCAAGGCTTTGGATCCAGCTCTATATGCATAGCTACATCAGAATTTTCACTTCTGTGCTAAATTGTATATAGTTTAATGACTCACGTAACAATGTATTATTTATCTCCTCCCTAAAAAAGTCCTGCATCCTAATTGGTCCATACTAAATGCTAGTAAGATATACTTAATGGACTTTATTATTATTAAAGTTTTTAGGGA